CCCCCCACACACACATATATATATATATATATATATATATATGTATATATATATATAAATATCAGTATGTATATGTATGTAAAGGTAATCTATATAGTACGTATCTATATATATATGTATATGTAATATATAACTATGTTGGTTCATTTATATATATATATATATATATATGTGTGTGTGTGCACTATACATATCTTATGTATGTATGTTTGTATGTATGCGTGATTTCTACACACGCACATTCACGCACACTTCACAGACATACACACACACACCCCACAGACATAAACACACACACCCCACATATACACATACACACACATATTATATATATATATGTATATGCTTCTGCTATTCTAATTAAGTCTACAGAACCACAAGTTTTACATGCATGCCCGAATTTATAGAGATACAATTTCATTATTGTACGACATATTGTCGATTTGTATGACGCACGTTCTGATAGGGACGATCATATCCACAGACATTACACAGACACGGACATGCACGCACATTTTTCTCTAGTTTCACATTTAAATACATGGTGAACGTATAGCACACACATGTATATTTACATATATCTTTGTCCACACACTCACATATATACGATATGATACTAATCATATATAATTATATAGGGTTCGTGTTTCTGATCTAACAGTTCTGGGTATTTTACACCAGCACAAGTTGCACAGATACACTCGCTGTTGTGATGTTTGATATCACATTTATAGATATATAATCCGAAGTTTTTTTTTGCCTGATATCGACTATATATGAAGCCGTTTTTTTCTTCAAAGTTAAGAATTTCTTTCTTCAAATTTTGTATGACAAAGAAATCCGTATTTTTATAGATATATATTTGCGCATCATGCAATACATATACGTATATACATCCAGAAAGCGAATCGTAAATTTATTGCTGTCGTTTCGATCTCTGCATTGTTCCCAGTCCCATTGTTGTTGTGGCAACCTATTAGCGCAGACCTTGTCTGTATAAATGTATCACTCGGCATCATCTCATTTGTCTGCTGAGCTCTAGGGTAAAATCATTTTGCTTCTGCCGGTTTCTTCAACAAGATTGTTTTCATTGCAATCCGTTCTGAGATTATTAGATGTTATACTTGAGAAACTTTATCTCCCTTAAAGCAAATAAATGTACCCTCATCCATGCTATGGCTCGTTTACTCGTTCAGGTACCTAAGAATGAAGAGCCAATCGAAACCTATCGCGTTATGAACAAGAAGGGCGAGGTTATCAATCCGGAATGTGACCCAAACCTTCCAGAGGAAAAAGTGGTGCATATGTACAAGACAATGGTACAGCTACAAGCCATGGACAATGTTTTGTTCGAGGCGCAGCGACAAGGACGCGTTTCTTTTTACATGACTTCCTACGGAGAGGAGGTATGAGTGCGAACACGCAAACTGAGTCTTAAAAATTGTCGCTTGGAAATTTACAGTCATCGCTCACCTTTATGTGATCCATCGTCACGATGTTGTCGGATACTCGATCAGTCGGACCTCTGTTGAAGATCATGCACTTTTTTGCGATCAGTTTATTCATCATTGCAAATTGCTTGGTTTTATGTGCTTATATAATCAGGGTACACAAATTGGTAGCGCCGCGCCGTTGCTTCCCGGCGATGTGGTGTATGGACAGTACCGTGAGGCGGGGGTTTTGATGTACCGGGGTTTCACGCTTGACGAGTTCATGAATCAATGCTATTCCAATGCTCTCGAGCAAGGAAAAGGCCGCCAGATGCCTGTGCATTACGGGTCCAAGAAACTGAATTTTCAAACGATATCATCGCCTCTTGCCACACAAATGCCCCAGGCCGCTGGAGCTGCTTACGCACTCAAGCGAAAAGGAGAGGGACACTGTGTTGTCTGCTATTTCGGCGACGGGGCTGCGTCTGGTATGTTGTCTTAATTGTATAGGCTGACCAGCGATGAGAGTTTGTATGCTTTAACCCCACTTTTGGTCGTGGATTTCTTTGTTTGTGCGTGCCACTAAAATAATTCGAAAGCGATTTTTTTTTATCGAGTGGGTTGTGCGTCTGTATTTTTAAGAAAATAAGTCGTGCGCTGCAGTGATCTGAAAGTACACGTATCTTGATGCCTTTAATAGATGCGAAAATCATACATTGGATGAGGTTATACATCCTTCGCCAATGGCGCACTTTGAATTTAATCTTCTCACGAATATCCATGCATATCCTGATTTTCAACAGAGGGTGATGCGCACGCCGCCTTCAATTTTGCGGCGACCTTGGACTGTCCAGTGATTATGTTTTGCCGTAACAACGGATTTGCGATTTCTACGCCCACCAATGAGCAGTACAGAGGTGACGGTATTGCCTCTAGAGGAAGCGGATACGGGATTGATGCCATCAGGTATGGGCGACTCGTTTCGTATAAACGTATACATTTCGCACACTAAAGCACCCACGAACTCTGTATTTATCAGCTGAGAGCTATTGTGCTTATACCTATGGGTTGTTGTTATATTGACCCGTGGCATGGGACTTGTGATTACAAAGTGCAGCCTCATTGTAACCTTTTTAGATCTGCCGCAAAAAATAATCGTGTAAGGCTCCAGGGTATATAGTTTTGGGGGCAGGGCGGGCATTGTTCAGGTTTACATTCATTGTTATTTGCTGAGGTAAATTCCTGTTATAATTATGTTCTGAAATTAAATTTACTCGCATCCTTTACCCTATCTTCATCACAGAGTCGACGGTAATGATATCTTCGCAGTATATAACGCAATGACGGCAGCGCGAAAGAAGGCTGTCGAGAACAACCAGCCCGTTATCATTGAGAGCATGACTTATCGAATCGGACACCACAGTACCTCTGACGATTCATCCGCCTATCGATCAATACAGGAAGTCAACTACTGGTATGTTGAATTCACAAACTCACTCTGAGTTTGCCATATGCTCCCAACTCTTTGGACGTATTGGCTCTTTCAAATAGAACTACCAGTAGTGCTGTTTTTGTGTTCGTGAATGTTTGTTGGCCATCACATTCCGCATGAGAACACTTAATGTTCCACTCGGAGATGTTAAGTTGCAGATCACGAGGGGCCACAAAAATCTTACAAAGATGCTTCCTTCGAAAAACAGGGACAAGGAAGATCATCCAGTAAGTCGACTCCGCATGTATATGACCAACAAGGGCTGGTGGGATACAGAGAAGGATGATGAACTCAAGAAAACATCCAGAAAGAAGTATGTGACGAGCGCAAAGCTTGTACGATGTCACTGATCTATGTGAATTTCACATTTTGTCCCGTTTTGCTTCGTTATCCCTTCTGCCTCGCCTCTCATAGTTGACATGATAGCGTAAGGTATATCAATTCGATGAATCGAGCTCGGAGGTGACCTTTTCGAGTACACCTGGTTTATATTACTTTTGGTATACAAGTTTTTGGCTATCTTGTACTATTTATCTATATAGTATATAGGTAGGAGCGTTTCAATTTTGCTAAACCTACGTAACGCCTCTTGACAGCATTCTGGCCGCATTCGGAAAGGCCGAGAAGGTAGCCAAGCCATCGATCGACCATCTCTGGACGGACGTCTACGACGAGATCCCGGAGAGTCTTAAGAGACAGCAAGAAGAGCTCAAGGAACATTTGGAGAAGTATGGGCGGGAATACGCACTGGAAGACCACGAGAAACTCTAATTTTGCACAATTTAGAACTGTGTGAAGCCATAAACGGATATTAAAATAATCGAAATGCGTATGGGAAATAATAGACTAGGCAAATGCGCATTAAAAAAATAATAAGCTAAGCGAATTGTTTGCAGAATGCACGCGAATACTGGAAGTGCTTTGCCGTATATCACTACTGCCCAATAAGCCTACAGAGGCCTTTTCAAAAAAAAAAGACCGAATTTCAAATTCTTATGGAAATTTCTTGGGTCCTTTGATTTTTAAAAGCCATTTTGGACTAGAACCAAGTTTCGGACCTGATTTGCTTTCTCATTCTCTTCCTCGTGGACGATTTCGGTCACTTTATAAAAACAATTCGGAACTTAGAATAACCCGGAGGGGATGAGTCGATCTCAGTGGTCTTGTGAGTCATGAAAATATTGTATACCGAACATATGCAAGTTGACTTACGTATTTTCTTATTGCCATATATGTAGGCTTACGTATGCACTATATTATGCACATATGTACGTAAACATGCGAAGTTTTATGATTCATATGCACTTATATCTTGTAGAAATAAGCGGAATAAAGTCAGCACAGGTCTAAACTTTAAAATACAAACTTGCACAGCTTTAATCTAAACGTATATCACGTAGAAGTAAACGGGCGAGAGCTAGCGCAGGTCAAACTCTAAAACGTAAACTTGCGTAGCTTTCATGTATATTTTTATAATGTAGAAGTAAACGGGGTAGAGTTAGCACATAGGGTCTAAACTCGAAACTGCTACATACCTCGTTCCGATCAAGTACCGAACCGAACTACTTTGGTATGCTATTCGGATTGGCTCCGACCAAGCATATTTTCGATTGGCACACAAGATTAAAAAATTCCCATTGTCGTCCTACCTCAGTATTCAGAAATCATGGAAATGTACCGAAATTTCCCAATTCATGTAAATATGTACGCGCTTTTGACTCGTATACCCCCTGCGGGAAATACAAATAAATATCTAGCAAGAAAATGCCAAAAATCATAAAGTAAAGTTTGTGAGGAAAAAAAATCGGGACCGGAATTCTTCGACACCTATTGATTTTATTTTTGGGGGCAACTAAAATGGACACCTAGACCTGGATTTAATGGTTATATAATCGATTTGGATGAAGTGATATAAGAGTCCAAAACTCTCTTTTGCATTTATTCACCAGTATTTACATTGATTACAAAGGTATCATGCGGCTTAACTTGGAGGCAAAGATGCAAGATCAACCTCAACCTCCTCCTCTTGGATGTAATCGGGCTCAACTGGAGATCGCGCCATTGTAAGTACACCTAGGCAGCAAAGTTAAAAGGCCAACATTAGAGAATAACATAGTCACATTATCTACACATTGTGTAACACTCAAGAAGCCGTAATTCTGACGGATCTTAAAAAATTACCATATCCCCACTACATCTATACGTTGTTCAAGATTCTACCCGATCACCAAAGTGCCATTTAAGTATATACTTGCATCTTCACATAGTATGCCGTAAGAACAGCTGATAGCTTTACAAGCCGAAGCTATGGAATGGTCAGTCTTCATGGGTTCGAGGAGTTATTACACTGCCTTAATACTAAGTGGAGATTCATCTCAAACCATTCGCAACTTGAAAAGTACTCACAATAAATATGTACGAAATACACCGAGTCTCACCCAGTGCATGACCGATTGAAAAAAAGCCTCGCAATAAGCCTATAAAACAAAGCAATTGCCATTCCGTGTACCAGCCACTAATAGCGATAGTCGTCTGTGTCTAGCTCTCGTCTTTCGAAGATAAGATCTTAATTTCCACCAAACATATCATATCAACAGGAAAACTCCATTCCAAATGTCACACAGCTTTGCCTGAATCGATGGGGCTGCCAGTACTTACCTGATCTTGTTGCCTCGACGATCCCATAAGGTTTCAGTAGACTCATGAACGTTCCGATACGCTGAGGTTTTGTGGACAGTTCGATGGTGACATTCTCGTGACTGACGTCTTGAATGATACCACCGAACAAAGCGGCCATCTCGGTCAGCGAGCGACGATTCAAGTCCCTGCGTTTCGGAATCAGTCGATTTTGAGACTATGATTTGAACATTAATCTTAGCTACTTCTCTCCAGAGGCGAGAAGAACTGAGAACTATCGAGAACAAATTGAGCGAGTCGAATTCGTATTCACACGCACACTCATATACGTGTATGAATCAATCATGAGCGCTTCTGCCAAAAGCATACCGTCGCATGCGAAGAGGCAGGTCGGCATTCTCCTTCTCAAGATCCACCTTTACAAGCAGCATCTCTCGCTCAATGACACGAATGTCCGTGTAGTCGAATACCGCCCACACAGGGACCAAATCTTCAAGCTGTGCCGAGAGCTGTGATCGTTCCATGGAGCAAAAAAAAAATACGATATAAGGAAACGTGATACCAGTGGAATAGACTGCACACGATGGGGCATAATGTAAGCGTTGCAAGCTGGCATCGGGGATGTACAATATCTGCGCAATGCGATACTCGACAGTTAATTCGATGATTTTGGCATATGGATTATACGGAGAGGTGCACCAGTACATTCCACGCACGTGCACTTACACGCATCAACTCAGTAATCTTTCATCATGTCGTTGGACACCAATATATACCATTTGAAATGCAATGCCTCATTTGATTAGTGTTCTTAAAATCACACGCATACATATTTACACGCGCGACATATTTACATAAGGCCATCAACTGAATGTGCACACATGCTGCACCTACCTGAGCGCTCGCGTGCTGGGTGTCGTAGAACACGAGGGTGATTCTCGACATCTCCTTGAGATTGGTCCGGCCGACTACCAAACTATCAATGTTGAATCCTCGCGCAGAGATGGTGTCAACGATCTTACTCAAAACTCCCGGCTGATTGTCCACGAGTACCGTGAAGGTTCTTTTCTCCTTAGATTTGGGTCCTATAGTGGTTCATGCGATAAACATATGAATATTACAACCGATGGATAGCAGAGATGCTGTACTGACGGATTCGACATGCATCATATGTAGATGAATACCATTTGAATTCTTCCACCACGAAGTGATAGGCTGAACGAATACTGTGAAAGAAGACAAACCCACTAGAGAGCGCTTGAATAGCATAGCTATTGCTGCAATCGAATATAGAGGAGAGTTGCGATCGCCGGCCAGCATTAGAGCTAATTAACCCCACAAAAACGCGAGAAGGAATCAAGGAATTCTTGTCACAGGAGAAGTTATTGCCGAGCCTAACAATATTCGATAGGAAATACGCAAAGCACAATGAGGTCACATAATTGCACAGAAAAGTGCCGCGATAGGCAAGCCTGCACCGTACAAGGACCTTCCGCCAAAATTCTCATTCTGGGCGTCGACACGAGCACAATCGCACAATACACGATGTATAGCGAATAAACGATTTCCAGTTTCGAGGCCTTTTAAACACGCCTGAATCTTAAAATATTTTCATATCAAATGTAGTGCAACATACATTACTAGAAGGATAGAAGGGGACGCGATCCTAACTTTCACTTCAAAAGTACACTGATAAACTTATATTTTCCTAGGATAGATTAGGTAGATACGTACTTCCTCCTAAATTAGCATGGTACATATTCATAATTGATATAAAATTACGAAATATGGCTTACCCTTTGGTTTGGCTTGCGGTATCTGCGACATGATGTTTTGGCACACCTCCTCAGGCGATGGATTTTGGAATGGAGCCGGCTGCAAGGTTAAAAAGTACGACCGATTACAAACGAGTTTCTGATTTAGACGTATAGTGTAAAAAAAATGAGGTTGTTCTGCATCGAGTAAAGAAAAGGCAAAACAAGTAAAATAAGTATACATAAAGCCTGTGTGTAGTCTAGCATACACTTGGTACCATAGTAGAATACAATTGTACTGTCCCTGTATGCAAATTATGGCAGCTACTTCTGGTGCATACATACGCGCAACGTCGTGTGATGGTCAGTATAGAGATTGAAACGCACGCTCAATAGGTCTGTATAGAGATTGAAACGCACGCTCAATAGGTCAGAATAGAGATTGAAACGCACGCTCAATAGGTCAGTATAGAGATTGAAACGCACGCTCAATTAAATCGGAAAAATTTCAGCAGGAAAAAAAACCACTAACTTATGACAGAGTATGTTAAAAAGGTACTGATCGTTTATAATGCATTTTTAGTATACATGTTTGAAATATACGCCATGCGTAGTGAGTAGTGCTTAAACATGCAAAACACAATTGAAAAATATGCAGATCTTTAAAGTTAAGTAAATTGTATATGGGACAGCAATTACCATAAATCGAGCAAGGGACGAAACGCACACACACACACACACACACATATATATATATAATATATATATATATATAT